AGTCCTAGAGATATTTGTGGAGTGGAATAGAAGATTGGAACTACAGACACGGAGAAAGATCAAGACGTTAAGATCTGATAATGATGGAGAGTATACTTTAGACCTCTTTCAGCAGCTATGTCGAGACGAGGACATAGAGAGGCACTTCATAGTTAGTCACACACCATAGCAGAATGGGGTGGCAGAAAGGTTAAATCGGTCTTTGCTGGAAAAGGCCCGACGTTTATTGTCGCAGAGTGGTTTGGAGAAGATCTTTTGAGCTGAGTCACTTTCTTATACGAGCCACCTCATTAATAGGCTGCCTTCATCTGTGATTGGGGGGAAGACCCCTATGGAGATGTGGTCGGGAGAGCCAGCACATGACTATGATCAGCTCAAGATAATTGGATGCCCAGCATTTTATCATGTTAGAATAGATAAATTGAAACCTCGAGTTAGGAATACCATATTTATGATATTCAAGTGTGGTGTCAAGGGATACAAGCTTTGGGATCCAGTTGATAAGAAGATTGTGCTGAGTAGATATGTCACATTCGATGAGGCTTCTATCTTGAAGCTTCCTAGATCTCATCAGGTGAAGAGTGACCCGATATTAGAGACATCTCAGGTGGTGGAGATTGATGCAACTCCACATTATCCAGATGGGACCGTATCAATTAGAGTGTCGACTGAGGTGATGCCAGACGAGCACGGTGATGATTTGGAGGATACATGTACGACAGAGCAGAATCATGGACTGATGGCTCAGGTTCAAGATTCTATTGTAGTTCGGAGACCCAGGAGAGACATACGATTGTCAGCAAGGTATATAGAAACAGTGGTTATGTATGTACTTCCAGTGGAGAGTTTCGATGAAATGGTTCCTACTACATTCAGAGAGGCTGAGTAGAGTTCAAAGGCTGATTTGTGACAGAAGGCTCTGTAGGAGGAGATGGAGTCTCTTCAGAAAAATGACACATGGGAGCTTATTGAGCTTCCAAAGGGATGGAAGGAAATTGGTTGTAAATGGGTGTATACCAAGAAGAAGGGCATTCAGGGCACACTAGTGAGGTTCAAAACTAGAAAGGCATTAACTACAATGAGGTCTTCTCTCCGATAGTGAAGCACTCTTCGATTCTGATCTTACTAGCTTTGGCGGCACAGTATGGTATGGAATTGAATTAATTGGATGTGAAAACAAGTTTTCTTTATGGTGATCTTGATGAAGAAATATATATAACTCAGACATTAGGATTTCGAGCTGTAGGGAAGGAAAAATTGGTGTGTAGATTGAAGAAATTGATATACGATTTGAAGCAATCTCCAAGACAATGGTATAAGTGGTTCGATGGGTTTATGCTCGGCCATTTGTACATTAGGAGCCAGTTTCATCCTTGCATGTACTATCACAAGTTGCATGGAGGTGCGTATATTTATTTGTTGCTTTATGTCGATGACATGTTGGTTGCTTCTATTTACAGATCCGCTATAGATGAGTTGAAGATATAGATTTCGAGTGAGTTTGAGATGAAGGATTTGGATGAAGCAAAGTGCATTTTGAAGATGGAGATCGACAGAGATAGAGATAAGGGCAGAATATGTTTGACACAGGTGGCTTATTTGAAGAAGGCGCTACAGCGATTCAATGTTAATATAGAGACAATGCCAGTCAGTGTACCTTTGGAAGCCTATTTAAAGCTTTCAGCTGACCTTTCACCGAAGACAGATGAAGATAGAGATGATGTCGAAGACTCCTTATGCGAGCGCAGTGGGAAGTTTGATGTATGCCATGATATATACGAAGCTGGATTTGTCACGGCCAGTTAGCATGGTTTCACGATACATGCACGACCCGGGTCCGGGTTATTGGGATGCCGTTAGGTGGATTTTGAGGTACATTCAGGTACTCTCAATGTTGGTTTGGTGTTTGAGCGGGACACAAGTGGTGGGTAGCTATGTATTGGATACATAGATTCGGATTATGCTAGAGATTTGGATAAACACCGGTCGACAACGGGATATGTGTTCACTTTGACCCATACGCCGGTGTGTTAGAGATGCATCTTATACTCTACAGTGGCTTTGTCGACGACAGAGGCAGAGTACATAGCGATTACGGAGGCTGTTAAGGAGGCGATTTGGCTTCGAGGACTTTTGGATGACCTTGGTATTTCGCAGTGATCTGTCACCATTTGTTGTAATAGCATGAGTGCTATATATTTGGCAAAGAATCAGATTTTCCATGCGAGGTTGAAGCGCATTGACGTTTTTTATCACTTTGTTCGAAATGTTCTTGAAGATGAGGATGTGGAGTTTGTGAAGATCCAGACAAAGGACAATCCAGCGGATATGCTCACGAAGGTGGTCTCGAGCAACAAGTTCGATTATTGTAGAAGCTTGTTGGGGATTTGTGCTTGTTAAGGAATTTCGAGGCCATTATGAACTACGGACGGCTTGATCCCTTGGGAGAGGGGGTACGTAGGCAACCATATTGGTGCATCCGAATTTGGAGAGACGACGCATTGGTGCTCGTGTTGGTGTCGGCTCAATTTTGGGAACACTTCGCCTAGGTGGAAAATTTTTGAAAATCTTTTAATTTTTTTGGATGAATAGTAACTCGGTGCTACAGTGTTATCAGTCGACTGATGGACAGTACCGGTTGACCGATGAAAACCCCTAGAATTATGAAAGGTTTCTGCTCGGTCGACTGTGAACAGTATTAATCGATCGATAAGGTTATGTGCATGTTTCGTGCAAGTTATCAGTTGATCGATGAAGAGTATCGGTCGACCGATCACAGTCGGTTTGCCAGAAACAGATTCCTAATCTGTTTTGGTTTTAGAGTTGATATAAATAGAAACACGTTTTCTATGGTTTTCTTGAAGAGATGTGATTAACAGAGATTATTTTGATTGTTTGAGCACTTTGAGAGTGAGATTTTTGTGAGAGAGTGAGAGATCATTGGTTAGGGTTATTTTGAGTGTTTGTGAGAGTTGTAACCCGTTGTTTTTTTCCTCCATATAGTGAAATCTCTCCATCCTCTCCCCGTGGATGTAAGCAATTTGCCGAACCACGTAAATCTTTGTGTTTGTGTGTGATTTTGGTCGTTCTCTTTGTGAACCGTGCTCGTTGTTCTCTTGTCAGTTGCTTACCGATTCGTGTGATTTATGCACGCTTCGGCCGTCGCGCAACAGGTGGAACCCACACACCCGCGGTTTACTTGGTAGTGTTTGGGGATTGAACTGGGGGTTCCGTGGATGTAAGCAATTTGCCGAACCACGTAAATCTTTGTGTTTGTGTGTGATTTTGGTCGTTCTCTTTGTGAACCGTGCTCGTTGTTCTCTTGTCAGTTGCTTACCGATTCGTGTGATTTATGCACGCTTCGGCCGTCGCGCAACAGGTGGAACCCACACACCCGCGGTTTACTTGGTAGTGTTTGGGGATTGAACTGGGGGTTC